TGTAGACCAGGCTGGCCTCAAACTCAGAGATCCACCTCCCTCTGCCTCCCAAGTGCTAGAATGTATATTTATATGCTTTAAGAAGCTTCTATAAGTGGTAGGTTTCCTTATGGCTTTTTTGTTTTGTTTGAGACAAGGTCTCCCTATGTAGCTCTGGTTGGGCTGGAGCTCTTTATGTAAACCAGGCTGGCCTCAAACTTACATGGCTCTACCTGCCTCTGCCTTCCCAGTGCTGGGATTAAAGGCATATGCCACCTCGCTTGGCTCCTTTTGGTTTTTTGAGTCAGGGTCTCGCTATGTAGTCTCAGGCTGGCCTTGAATTTATGGCACCTCTCCTGCCTCAGCTTCCCAAATGTTGGGATTACAGGCATAAGTCACCACAGTCAATGCAAGTAGCAGTAGACAAAGTGGTTTACCAATTATGAAGTGCCCCCATGGGGAACCAAGACAAGCTCATTCCATGGGCTTACAATCACCAAGGGCTGCTCCAGAAACTAGGGTAGGAGACCCTACCCAGTAGGAAGGGACCCAATAGCTCAGAACACTGGAGACATGGCTGTTCCTCCACTTGGTATTCAGGAGGAAAGACTTGAAAGAGCCAGTGTGTCTCTGGCTGACCCACACCCTTGTGCTGGGTAAAGAGATCAGCTCCAGGTGGGCTTGCCGCCAAGCCTGAGGACCTCAGTTCCCCCCTCCAGAACCCACATGGTGGAAAGAGAGAACTGCCTCCCATAAACTGCCCTCTGACTTCCACACTCACGCTGTGCCATATGCACACACTGAAAATAAATAAATATTGCAGCTGGTCCCCAGCCCTCCACATCTCTACCTTCCCCTTCTTTCAGGTACCAGCTCACTAGTCAACGGTAACCTCCGACTCTACAGCTCTGTGGGTGACCTGCGGCCTGGGCACTATGCCCTCGACCCACCCATCCCTCCACCTCCTCCAGGCCCAGCCCCAAGGCCACCCCAGGACACTTCACAGCCTCCAGAAGAGTCCCCTCCACCACCTCCACCTTCCACTGCTCCCCCTCCCCCTCCCCCTCCCTCTCCCCCTCTCCTGCTGCTAGGACCTCCACCCCCACCCAGCACAGCCCCACCTCCACCTCCAATACTGAACACCCTATCTCCCTCATCCACTCTCTCCCCGCCATCCACACCCACCCCTCCTGACTTCATTCCCCCTGCCCCACCATTGGCTTTCCTAGACCCGCCTCCACCCTCTTTGCCAGCCCCTCCACCCCCAGTCTCTCCTCACACAATGGGGATTCGCCTCTTTCCCCCTGGGGGTATCACCAAGTGGAAATCAGAGGTGGCACTCAATGGCCGGCAGTCAGAAACCCCCAGAACCAGCCCCCCTAAGAGCCCCGCTGAGCTACAAGGGAGCTCCGTAGGGCCTAGTCTGGAGTCCCACCTCACCTTCCCCAGGTCATTTAAGGTGCCTCCCCCAGCCCCAGTCAGGACCTCATCTATCCCAGTTCAGGAAGTACCAGGGGCTCCCCTAGAGGAAGAGGGGACCTCCAAGAAGGTCCCTAGCCGCCTCCCACTGCCTCCCAGCTTCCACATTCGCCCTGCATCTCAAGTCTACCTAGACAGGGTCCCTGAGCCAGAGCACCCCAGGGAGCCTAGGCTCGAGACACCAAGCAGCCCAAGGCTCAGGCAGTCTGAGCTCCAGACAAATGGACAAGCTGAGACCCTACCCCCACCCCCTCCTCTGCCTCCACCCGCCCCTCCACTCCCTCCCCCAGCACCCCCCCTGTCCCCAGCTGCTCCTTCTTTGCCCTCTCCTGAGCAGGCAGTTCCTCCATCTGCTGGATTTATGAAGACCCCCAAATCCAACTCACCTGCTCTCAAACCCAAACCCAACCCTCCCAGCCTGGAGGAAACACCTTTGTCAGAACCTGTGGACTGGAGGGACCCCAGGCAGATGGAAAAGCTTCGAAATGAGTTGGCAGCCTATCTCTGTGGGTCCCGTAAAGAGGACTTATCCAACCACAGACCAGTCCCTACAGTGGCCTCAAAGGACAAGGAAGACAAGAAGGGTCCAAGCCTGCCAGAGGAAGCAGCTCCCCCAAGCTGTCCTGAGAAGATACTACCACGAGCTGCCGAAAAGGGTCCCTGCAGCACCAACTTACCAGAGAGACAAGCCACCAGCAGCCTGACCCTCCCCCCTGTGGACTACATCTCTCAGGACACTCCAGCCCCCAGTGTCAGGCAGATCCGGGATGAGCTGGAGGCTCGGTTCTCCTCATCCACAGAGAAAGATGCCAGGCCCAGCATAGCATCACTGCCTCCCAAACCCTGGCTGGAAGGGGGCAGAATCTTTGAAAACGGGACTGACTATGGCAGATTCCCTAAGCCTGTCACCAAGAATGCACCCCAGCTGTCTGCCACCACTCAGTCAGCGGCAGTACTCCAGTCCAGGGCCACACCTGGGCCAGCCACACCCTCCAAGGCCACACCTGGACTGACCACACCACCCAAGGCCACACCTGAGCAGACCACACCACCCAAGGCCACACCTGGACTGACCACACCACCCAAGGCCACATCTGAGCAGACCACACCACCCAAGGCCACACCTGGACAGACCACACCACCCAAGGCCACACCTGGACAGACCATACCGCCCAAGGCCACATCTGGACAGACCACACTACCCAAGGCCACACTTGGACAGACCTCATCACCCACGGCCACACCTGGACAGACCACACCACCCAGGACCACACCTGAGCTGGTCATCCCACCATCTCAGCTGATGACAGAGAAGGAACTCCTCCCTGGTGGGCAGAGGGAGAAGGTGGAAAGCCTAGGGGCTGCCTGGCTGTCGACAAGGGAAGCCCTCTCATCTCCAGCCCTCCCATCAAAGATGCCCCCTGGTGGAGAAGAGGTGCCATATATCTACAAGCCCCATCGCAGCCAGAACAGCCCCAGCCGAGAGGTGGCTGTGGTGATGCCCACGGTGGCCAGAGAAGAGGCCCCAGGATTACGGGGACCTGTGGAGGTGAAGGAGCCCCAAAGCCGACCAGCCAAACCCCTTGCCCCAGTCCAGCCTGCTGACCAGTTCCTCAGACACCCCGTAACTGGGGAGGTGGTGGAGCAGGGCTCCCCAATGGCCCTGCTCCTGGCGGCCAGGCAGAGGGCACTGAAGACCAGGCCTGGAGGGACTGGCCTGGGGCGGACCTCCCTGCCAGGGAGTCTCCGTGGTCATAGCAACCAACCAGAGGTCAGCTCTGACAGCATCTTTTACAACGCTAGCCGGCCCAACTCCTTCCTTGTGGTCCCTAAAGTACCCAGTGAGGCCGAGAAGGACCCTCAGCTAACCTCAGTGCGGCCTACTGGACCTGGTCCTTGGAAGGCCCAGACTGGAAGAGATGCACAGGGCCCAGAGCCAGTTCACCGGCACGCGTGGAGGAGGGCTGAGCCCCCAGCCCCTGTGGCCTGGGCAACACCCGCCCCGTCCTGCCTCCCCCAGGGCCGAGTGCTCCCCAAGTCCTTCTCTTCTCCACCTTCTCCTTCCTATAAGAGGGAAGAGGAGGAGGAAGAGGAGTTCGACTTTGAGATCATCCCGCCGCCACCTGAGTTCAGCAATGACCCTGAGCCCCCCGCCCCCGCCCTGCAGTCCCGGGGCCACCGGGGGTCCCCCCCGAGGAACCATTTCTCGGACCTGGGGCAGCCCCTGGAGGCGGACCCCGCGGCCCCTCCGGCTCGCGGCTTCTCTCGCTTTTCCGGCGCGCGGTACCCGGGGCCCGGGGGCCTGGACCGCTTCTCGGGCAGCGGCCGGTCGCTCATCAAGAAGCGTCTGTATGTCGGGGAGTCCTACCGCCACCCCGGGACGACCCGAGGCGCCACCGGCCGCAGCCTCAGCTCCCCCAACTGCTTCGGCCCGCAGCCGGGAGGCCCGGAGATGCGGCGGGTCAACTCCGCGGGCCGCGCGCCCCCTGGCGGCCTGCACGGACGAAGGCTGTCGCTGGAAGGCTGCGCGCGGGGAGCGGCGGAGACCAAGTACCAAGCACCCGTTGGAGGCGGCGGTGCTGGTGGAGGCTGTGGTAGCGGAGGCGGCACTGCCAGCAGGTAAGCAGAGGGCCTGGATGATCAAGGGATTCCGAGGCAGGAGGCCAGGGGAGGTGCATGGATGCTCTGCCCTCTGAGCACAGAGCTGCTGCAGAGCCCAGGGTCATGGCCTGCCGCTTACAAAGAAAGAAGAGATCGATCCAGACCTGGGCTGGGAGCGGAGGACACTTGAGTGAAGGGTACCAGGCATGTTCTCTGGCCTGCACGCCCACCTTTCGATTGAAAACCCATGTAGAACCACATCTGCACCCTCTGCTCCGGGGCGGGGGGCGGGGGGAATGGACACGGTGGGAAGAGGGGTGGATACGGTGTGTGTGGCGGGGTGCGGGGTGGACAGGGTGGGGCTCAAACGAGTACTTGAGACTTCACCGCTTTTCTCTCTCCAGGTCTCCCCACGGCACCTCCCACTACGGAAGCCCCATCAATACGTTCACCGTGAGGCCTGGGACCCGACACCCCATCTCCTATGCCTACTCTGGGGCCCACCGGAAAGCCACGTCCTGAGCCGGGGTTCCCTCGACCAACTCCTAGGGGTTGGATCTAGGCAGTTGTTTTTGTGGGAGGGTGGGAGGGTCGCAGCAGGTGTCACGGGGTCCAACTGGGACACTGGGAACCTTTGTTCTCAAGACAGACAGGCGGATGTGTGAGCTGCGGTGGTCTGAGGACGTCTGTTTCCAAAAGCACAGCTGGGCTATGGACTGCTGGCAGGTGGGGGTGGGAGGGGCAAAGAGAGGAAGTGCCTTTCTGGGACTGGGCACTGTTTCACTATCTGGTACTATGGGATCTAGCAAGGTTTGTTGACAGTTGTATAAGCACGACCTACTAAGCAGGTTCTAAAAGAAGGAACGGCTACCAAGTCTGCAGTGAAACCCACCAGGGTGCCAGTTTGCCTGTCTGACCCTCACAAAGGAATGAGGCCCTGCTGTGCCCCAGGACACTGTCTGTTACCAGGAACAGGTACTAAATAACTGGGCTTCCTAGCCACTCAGAGATGAGACCAACATGCACAACGAGAAGGTTCTGGAATAGAAGTCCTATGCATTGGCTAAGGCCAAGGGTGAGTTCATTTCCCTGGCCTTGGCACTTAACCACAGGGAGGCCTAGGGATAGTTTAGGGAGACACAGGATTAAGGCTTGCTTCTCCATTAAGACCTATGAAAGTCCTGGTTGGTTGGGGGGTTGGGCCCAAGGCATCATGAAGTCATTGACACCCAACAATGTTCAGGTCTCATGGGACACCCCACGCCCAAGTACTACAGATCACAATATTATTGAGGACTTAAAATGTGTAGCTAAGAAGCTGGAAGGCCCTGAAGACGGACAGCAGCGATGAGGAGTGAGGTCTAAGTGTCTGCCAACACAGAAGCAGGTTTTCGAAGGTCAAGGGTAGCAGGATGGGGCCAGTTCAGAGCAAGGGAGACCTGTCAGGAGGGTGACCGTTTGCCTGGGAAGTCCATGCATATGCCTGTTTTCTAGTGAATTAGCCTTCTAGTATTTTAAGTCCTGGTTTACATAGTATGTGGTTGTCAGATGTATCAAGAACTGCAGTCCTTGGTCTCACTTTTCCTATCTCCAGGGGGATTGGCTGAATTCCTGGGACCAGGCCAAGGCAAGTAAGGAGGGGCAGAGGAGTGGTCCATCTCAGAGGAGCAGGGGGAACAGGAAACAGTGTCCTCTGGGAGCAACATGTTCGGCCTCTATGATCTGAGGTACCAGCTGAACTCCTGGGTGGTTGGGACAGTAGGTGACCCACTTCAGGGAAAGCAAGCTTGGGCACCCAGATGGCCAAGGCAGGGTGGCAAGTTACCTGGGTTCAAGAGGCCAACCGCCAACACCAACACTGGCTGTCTAAATCTGTATTTTCCCTGTGCAGTGTTTTATAAAAGAGTTCACTAATTATTTATCTGCCACTTGAGCAGTGGGGTATGGCCTCCCAGCGGTGGCGTACTCTGGGGTGAGTAGAGAAGGGCTTGGTCACACTTGGCATCGGAAATAAACAGGCTATTTTGGACTGGCCGCTTGTTCCGTGATTGTGGATTGATGACTCCGGAGCGATGGGACACTGGGAGGGTCAGTTGGGCAGTGCCAAGCACAGAGCACCAGGCCCAGCATTCACTTCTGACCCTTAGAAATTCTTGTTCACTGAATCCCCCAAGGGGAAGGTGCAAGGACAAACCCTGGTGATTTAAAAAAAAAGTGTCCTTAATTAAGCAAGTCTCAGACTCTGAACCTCAGTTTCTTCTGGGCCTGCTAACAGTACTCCTAAAGCTGTTGTAAAGATTAGAGGCAGTTATGTATTCATTTAACAAATATTTGGGTGACTGCTTGGATGTGAGGCACTACACTTAGCATAGACACACAGCTGGTAACACACTGACATGGTTCATGTTCTTGGCTAGATCATAGGCTAGAGGGTTATGTGCAAACCTATTGTCCCAGCACTGAGGAAGGGGTGGAGGCAGGAGGATCACAAGTTTAAGGCCGGCCTTGGCTACATGAGAGCCTGTCTAGAAAAACAAAAAGATGAGAGAGAAGCAAATAAAAATAATCATAGCTTAGCCAGGCATGGTGGTGCATTCCTTAATCCCAGCAATCAGGCAGATCTCTGTGAGATTGAGTCTGGTCTACATAGTGGGTTTGAGGCCACCTGGGGCTACCACGTGACCCTGTCTCTAATAATAATAACAATAATAATAATAGTTTAGTAGGGGTGAGAAGACAGAATTTGAAAATGGCTCAGGTGGTAAAGGGCTTGCCTTATAAGCACAAGGACCCAAGTTCAATCCTCACGGTTGGGGGATGGATCAGTCCATAGAGCAGTTGCCTTACAAGCATGGATCCCCAGAGCCCACATAAAAAAGCCAGACTTTGTGCATGTTTGTAATCCCAGTGCTGAGACAGGAGGATCCCTGGTTCACTGTTCAGCCAGCCTAGCCTAATTGGTGAGAAACTCCATCTCAAAGAAGGTGATCAGCATTCCTGAGGGTCAGTCACACCTGAGGTTGTCCCCTGGCCTGCACACACATGCATTAAGAAAGCACACCAAGGCCGGGCGTGGTGGCGCACGCCTGTAGTCCCAGCACTCGGGAGGCAGAAGCAGGCAGATCTCTGAGTTCAAGGCCAGCCTGGTCTACATAGTGAGTTCCAGGCCAGCTGGGGCTACAGGGAGACCCTGTCTCAAAAAGACCAAAAAAAAAAAAAAGTTTGCCAGGCATGGTGGTGCACACCTTTAGTCCCAGCACTTGGGAGGCAGAGGCAGGCGAATCACATACCAAAACATTAAAAATTATAATGAGGTTGTCAGGATGGCTTAGTGGATATAGGCGATTGCTGCCAAGCCTGACAAGCTGGGTTCAATCCCCAGGAACCACACGAGGCAAGAACTGACTTCTGCAAGTTGTCCTCTGACTTAGACACACTAGATACCCACACACACACATACGCAAATATTTTTAATTTAAAAACGTGTATGAGTATTTTGCCTGCATGTATATAAGTGTATCCATGTTGTGTAATGCCCTTGGAGGCCAGAAGACAGCATTAGATCCCTGGAACTGAAGTTCCAGACAGTTATTACCACCATGTGGCTGACAGAAACTCAACTTGGGTCCTCTGCAAGAGTAGCCAGTGTTCTTAAGCACTGAGCCATTTCTCCAGCCATATATATATATATATATAAATTATGACTGCAGATGTGGTTTAGTGGTAGAGTACTTGCCTTACATGCACAAGGCCTTGGGTTCCATCCCCAGCACTACTTGGTCCCCCACATTCCCTTGTCTCATGTCTCCTCATGTTCCCATCTCTCATGTCCCCCCACGTTCCCTGTCTCTCATGACCCTCCCATATTTCCCTGCCTTGTGCCCGCCCCCCACCTCTGCCCTAATACCCTCATCTTGGTAACAGAGACCTGTCCTCTAGGTTTCCACATCTGGCTTCTCTCCTCTCCCTGGTCCCTCTGAACTTATCATGGATGCTAACCCTGGAGTAAACACCCCACATCCTGATTCCTTCGTTTAGACAGGGTCTCATGTAGCCCAGGGTGGCCACATAATGCATCACAGAATGGCCTTGAAATCCTCATGCCTCCACTTCTGAGTGCTGGCTGCCACCACACCCAGCTCCAAGCTTTTTTATTATTATGTTTATGTTTATTTTTGTGATACTGGAGATTGAGCCAGGGTCTTGTGCATGCTAGGCAGGCAGTCTACCACTGAGGTATGTCCCCAGCTGCTTCTCCTAGCAAGCGGTGTGGCCTTGAGTATCCACAAGCTGGTCTGAAAATGACAGGGGTGAACTTGGGCTGTGCAGGTATTAAACTCTGTTGGGTCCTTGCTTCTGAACTGATGAGAGCTACCCACCAGAAAGATGCCCATTTGGGCATTCCCACACATCATTCCAGCTCCTTGATACAATCCCCATCCATCAAGTTGAAAACTGGTATCACAGGTAACTACCAGTATAAGTACCCTTCCAACTACCCAGCACAGAAGAGATGGGGGAGGAGCCCACCGGGGAAAAGCCACTTTAGTGCCAATAAGTGGGTGGCTGAGGTGCCTGGGTTCAATTGGCCACACGTTGGTTGGGGAAGCCTCACTATGTGGCCTCAGCCCTAGTGACCAGCATCCCACCTCCCATGTGGGACCTAACCTGGCCCAAACCAGCAAGGACAGGTCCTAAAGATGCCAGTGTTGGGAGCCTGAGTCTGGCATCTCTGAGGGTAAGCTTAGCTCTCCCCTGAGCCAGACTCAAGAAGATGTTCCTCAATGGAAGATAGGGACCCCACATCCTAGTCCCCTGCACACATTGATTTTTAAATTTTTATTTATTATTGTATGTGTATGGGTGTGTTGCCTGAATGTATTTAAGTGTACTCGCATTGTGCAGTGTCTGCAGAGGTCAAAAGGAGGCATTGGATTCCCTGGAACTTGAGTTAAAGACAGTTGTTAGCTGCTATGTGGGTGCTGGGAACCAAACCTGGGTCCTCTGCAAGAGTTGCCAGTGCTCTTAACCACTGAGCCATCTCTCCAGCCCCACACAACCCCCCCCCTTTTTTTTTAAAGACAGGGTCTCATGTAACCCAGGCAGGCCATGAATTCGGTATGTAGCAGAGAATGGCCTTGAACTCCTGATCCTCCTGCCTCCACCTCCTGAGTGCTGGATGCCACCACACCCAGCTCTAATATTTTATTTATTTATTAGTTATACTTTTGTGGCACTGGAGATTAAACCAATGGGACAGAAGTGACTTTGGAGCTGGAGGGACAAGGGCTGAGCTGTCAGGCAGGCCTGCTCTGACCTGCCTACCCTCGGGCAGATGTGGCCCTTTTCATCTCTGCAGCTCAAAGCCAGTGCTGGTGGCGTCCCACCATTAGTCAGCTGCTGGGGATGGGTGACCACTGATACCAAGGCCTGCCTGTCTCATTCCAAAGGTCCTAGGTTGCAGGAGCTGCAGACCTGCTTTGGGGCCTCAGTGGTGGCTTTTAGTCAGAAAGGTGAGCAAAGGAGGTGGAACAAGGACCCAGGAGAGCCCTGTGGAGGGACAGAGCAGGTGGAAGCTTTGGGACAAGAGCTAGGCTGGGCAGGGGAAGCGGTCATTGTTTGTGTACTTGTTAACTTAGCAAAAGGTAATGTTGAGTGGTGCAGACACTCTGCTGTGGTACTTTGGTGATATCTCTTAGTCATTTAAAGTTGCCCTTGACATTCACTTTCACCTGATTTTCCCGGGCAGAGGGGAGGAGGGGGCTGCGTGGTATACATATATGAACTTTGCTCTGGCGTCAGGCTGCACCTTATGTAGCATCCTTGCTTGTACATACAGCTGGCATGTGCCAGCAGGTGGCGCTATGCTCACAGGTGCCGGAACTTCCGAGACAGTTGAAATTTAGATTCCACGTTGATAGACCGGCTTTCTCCTGCCTCAGCTCAGGGCTGTTGTGATACTGGAAGCCACTGGAGGGTTTGTGAAAACACAGGTTCCTATCGCTCATTCCCAGAACTCCTGGTCTGGTGGGTTTGGATGGGGCCGGAGAATTCGAATTTCTAACAGGTTCCCTGCCGTAGCGGCTGGTCTTTGAGAACTGTCTGTGCAGTATCCGTTCAATCACAGCCCTCTGAGCAGATAACCACTCTGAGCTTCCTGTGAAAAAACTGCAGTCGGTACAGCACAAATGAGCCTCCAAGCCACAGAGCTGGAGGGTGTCCAGGAGCCAACGCTTCCTGTTCTCTACCTCTAAGGCCACAGCCTGGTAGGTGTGGGTGTGATGGCACCTGTCCAAATTCCTGCTCCAAGGACAGAGGAAAGAGGGACATGGCTTGGGGACAGCCAGGAGGTCACATGGTTGCTGTTCGTCCAAGAGTAATTCCCGGTTAGTTTGCTTGTTTGTTTTGCCTTTTCTCTTAAAAATTTATTTATTATTTTATGTGTACGAGTGTTTTGCCTGCATGTATGTGAGTGTATCATGTGTATACGCCTGTTGAGGCCAGAAAAGGGTGTCAGGTGCCCTGGAGCTGAAGCTGTGGATGGTTTTCAACTGCGATATGGATGCTGGGAACCAAACCTGGATCCTCTGCAAGAGTAACCAGTGCTCTTAGCCACTAAGCCATCTCTCCAGCCCCACCCCCAGCATCTCACTGTGCTGCTTTGGCTGGCTTGGAACTGGGTATGTAAATCAGGCTAGCCTTGAACTGCAGAGATCTGCCGGCCTCTGCCTCCACTGTGTTGGGATTAAAGGTCAGTCGGGTAATTCTCTGGTATCTACAGTATTCAGAGACACTTTTACTTCTGTGTCTAGCCTCACAGAGTAGATGCTGTGTTGTCCCAGAGAGATGGAACCCAGGGTCTTGTGAGCAGGGTGGCAGGCAAGTGCTCTACCACCGAGCTACATCCCCAGCCAGCCAACCACTCTTCAGGACTGAAGCTCCTGAACCCCCAGAGGCCAGAAGTACCCCATTAATCTCAGCTTGAGTCTCTTTCTAGGAACTTCCATGAGAAAGACAGCTCACCCAAGCTCAAG